CTCACCTGGCTGGGAATCCCCTTCTTCTTCTGGAAAAGTATAATTCCCACTCATTCCAGGGGAAGAAGGAATTTCTCCAGGAACACGAAACTCTTCAACATCATCATAACAGTCTCCTGTGGCACTGGCATGATGTCCCGGAGGCTCTGGAAATGGACAAGCACTTAGGCTGCCTGTGGGTCTCAGTCCCTCCTACTGCAGAGATACCAACAGCTGATACATAAAAGCTCTGGATTCCAGGGCTGTCTTTGGGCCCTGGGACCAAATATACTTTATCTCCATATTTTCAGAAATTATTTGCCTCTTCTGAATATTCTAGTATACTTTCCTAACAGGGCCTCACAAACTATAAATCATGGACAAAAGCTATTGTAATATGTAACCTGGGTGCGACATTCAAGCACATGCTACATGTGTGTCTTGGAATAAATCCAGTCAAGGAGAACCCACCTACCCATATGTCTTTGACACTGTGGGAAACACAGAGAAGGCAACAGAAGGTACCTGGGTACCTCTCACCCAGAAAAGGGCCACCTCACCAGCCCCCACCATAGAGGGCCTGGGTGTCAATCCACTGAGAGCCATGAGGATCTGAGGGTCCAATTTCCAAGGATCCCTCTGGACATGTCTCATCCCCATGGCTATCCATCAACACTATCAGGGGAAGAGAGGAACAATTTCCTTTCTTGGGCCCCTTGTCAATAAGATTTCCTGTAGCTGTTAAGTGCAAGCACCAGCAGTTATTGATATCTGAATATCAAAATCAAATTTTGGAGTCTCAGTTTGTACATGACCCACAAATATCGTACCATCTCAAGTTCAAAACACACTTCCCAGTGCTCACCAGGGAAATTCTCGGTGTCAGTTTCAGATGCTACTGGGGAAAAAATGGCCTTTGAGGGGCTCTCCCTGGTGGCGTAACGGGTTACAGCACCACATTATGAAGCTCTCCGAAGCCACAGCGGCACATGGCTCTATGGATCCATGTGGATCCCCACCCTAGAGCTGACCCACTTGGCCTGGCAGACCTCTTCTAACCCGCCT